CTGTTCAATAAAAAGAAGAAACTAAGATAGGGGAAAAGAGAAAGGATAGAAGGGAAAAGAAAAAAATGCAAGTTAGTTATACCATTAGTGTCACTTAGTTCACTGAATAGGAAAGGTTGTGCTAATATTGATTGAAGAAATTTTTATGCCCATATTTTGTACTTGAGTGACTAAAGATAAGATGTGTAATTTATCAACAATTGTTACTTTTTCATTATTTTGTTGTGAAAATTTGTTTTACCTTTTCTTCTTAATATTAACAAATAAAGTAAAAAAAAAACCCATAAAATCTATTTATTTGTAAATCCAAGAAGAATTTCCTGACTACTTGCTGCAATTTAAGCAATGCTAGTATTAGGGATACTGTGTTAGTCAGTGTTATGGTTTGTGTCTGGATGTGCCCCTAAAGCCTCATGCAGGTATGGGGTAGGCTTCTAGGGTTTGTGATTGATCATTGTCCACTTCTGGGATTACGTGTGTGAGTGCTACGCCTGCCCTGGTGGGTAACCTGCATATAGTATCAGGGAGGGAAGGAGGCTTGCTCTCTGGAGCTCCCTTCCTGCTCCTGCTGCTTTTCCTGTTTTCTGTCACCAGGAACTGTTGCCCCTCTGCCAGGCCACCTTGCCTTGGAACCAGTTAATTATGTACTGAAACCTTCAGAAATCTTGAGCTAAATAAAATTTTTCTTTCTTAATTTTGGGTGTCTGGCATTTTGTCTCAGCAATGAGAGAGTTGTAATGAACACAGTCAGTCTTCTGTCCATGTTACAAAATACTTGAAATCAATACTTTAAAAGGAAAATAGACTTATTTTGTCTCCTGGCTTCAGAGTACTCTGTCCCTGGTTGCTTGACCTGATGGCTATCTGCCTGTGATGAGGCAGGACTTCACAGTGAGAGCTCAGGGTGGTGAGTAGCTGCTGGCCTCTGAGCAGCTGGGAAGAAAACTCAGAAAGAAGGGGCAGGGACTCACTGTGCCTTGAGGAGCTTGCTGGCAAGGACCCCCTCCTTTCACCAGCCCCCCCCCTGATATTCGCAGCACCTCCCAGCAGCACCACAGGAAGTGACCCAGCTGTTAATACCCCAGGATTGGGGATCATTCTAGTTCCAACCTACTACAGATTCTAATTTACCAAATAGGGACTCAGTCTCAAGCCTCTAGCACAATAATTACTATCCTGGTTCTATGTAATCGTTAGTAGGATGCTATTAATATAAAGATTTTAACCTCCCTTTGAAATTGCAATTGAGAAAACCTTAAGGTCATCCAAAGAAATTTGTTCATATTCTGTGCTTTAAATGTGTAAGTTCCATTGAAAAACTACCTTCTGTAAGTCACTGAGCAGTAAATAGAGCACAATGAAAATAACACAAAGGCACCGGGCAATTTGCCCTGTGATGGAGCGATCACTGATGAAGCACACTTCGCTCATTGTATGTTTTCCCACTGCTTATTTTATGAATTTTTTTCTTACTTTGAATTTTGAATACAGGGAAAGAAAATACAAATGGTTGCAAAGTATTAGTTAAGGACAGAGAAATTTAGAGAGATGGCCTTAGAACTATAAATGGATTGTGTTGAACATTTTAGAATTCTTTTTAGAAAAAAGGGGTTTTTGCATAATTTTGAGTGAAAGAGTCATGTTTGTATTTCAAGTTGACTAGTTACAGAATGAACACTCAGAATATAAATCCTTTCAGAAGTCAAGAAATTAATGGGAGACCATGGCAGTATTAAACCAAGTAAATAAAGGTCATTTGCATTTGAAAATATAGGTAAATTTGGTGAGTTTGGTGAGTTTTACTGCCTTGGGGGACAAACAAATGAAGAGAGAATTTAACTCAGCCTCTGTATAGAAGCTTTACTGTCATATCCTCAAAGGCCTGGCTCAGAGGCTTACTCTATATTCTCTGTCTCTCTGTCTCTGTCTCTCTCTCTCTCTCTCTCTCTCTGTCTCTCTCTCTCAAATCTCTATTAGTATTGTGTATTCTCTTTTCACTGAGCATATCTAAACTTGTAGCTATATTCTTTCTGAATATACACATATGTGTTGTCTAATTATTTGTATGACCCCAAGAAGCAAAAGCAGTAGTTCTTTCCACTAGCTCTAGTCATTTGAGTAAATATTAGTGGATTAGTTACTATATGCTTATCAATATTATTGAAAAGATAAATTCAAAGCATCCATAAATGGTTTTATTTGGCTCTCAGGATTTGTCTATTCTATTATTTCCAACCGTTGAGATCTGTGTATTTTATATTCCTTTCCTCTTACTCTCATCTCAGATGTTCCTGAATTTCTATACCCTATTCTTTTCTATAGAAGTACTCAAATAGTGCCTGTCCTTTGCCATTTTGTGTTAGTGTCTCTTTAGTGAGTAATACAGGAAGGGTGACAAGTGCTTGGACTCCAGCTGGAAGATAAGCAAAGAGAATAATGCACCAAGATTTCATGTCTGCACTCTGCAGATGAGGTCTTGGGCAGTTTCTGTGAAGACAGGTGGGAAATTAGGTATTTGTCTCAATACCAATGTGAATATAGATCTAAGACCAAAAGGTTGATATGGATTAGAGGAAGAAAATTTTTTGTGCAAATTCCACTTCTATCAGATTGAAATATGAGTAGACACGCAGTTCTAGGTAAGCTCTGTCCTTTGTGAATAGAAGTCCTACCACTATAGCCAGGGATTAAGGCAGTGGCATAAGTGCCTGCCTTGCAAGTGTGTGCTCATGAGTTTGATCCCTGGTACCAACAAGAAGGAGGAGGAGGAGGAGGAGGGGGAGGAGGAGGGGGAGGAGGAGGGGGAGGAGGAGGAGGAGGAGGAGGAGGAGGAGGAGGAGGAGGAGAAGAAGTCATACAGTTATAAAAAATGATTATTTTCAGACAATTAAAATTAGTGCAGAACAAGAACTCCCGAGAGAAGGAAGGGGAAGCAGACCATCATGGCAGCCCCATTCTGATGCGGAAGGCAGGTTCCAGTCTGAAGTGGGAAGTACAAGTCGTAAGAGGCCCCACAGCCAGCAAAATATAGCAAGTGGAAGTCGAGCTCCAAAGGGCCAAGTCAGCTGAACCACAAAAGGTACAAGCTAAAGAGGAGGAAATGGAGCTTTGGTTGAATGTAAGTCAGCACACCTGTGGGTTGAAACTCCAAAATCCTAGCAAAAGCAGCTACCAGGTAGGATAGCCCTGGCCTGGAACACTTTCATAAAGCAGCCTGCAGAGGTGTACGAGGCCCTGAGCCAGCGGCTGTGGAGAGGCCTCACTGCACTAGCATCCACCCCACAGGGCACTGCGTGTGTGTCCCCACTGAAGAGCATCATAGCATGAGCCCGCTCTAATCTACAAGGCTTAAGGACTCATTGGGAAGCAGTTTCACAATCGGATAAGATACATTCCACATTCTTTTACAAAGGCAAGGAAAACTTTTAGATCCCAGTAAGCGTAGTCATACAGTCTTACACATGATCAGAACCATTAGCCAAACAAAGAAGCTTCCAAGTAGGAGTTCTAATCAGAATAAAACACAATCAATAGCAGTCTTTTCAAAACAGCAGAGATGATCAGATTACTGGAATGGATGGCTGGTCAGCACCATCGACAGGGCATGAAGATTCCAAAGGAAATATTGAATTTGAGACCAGAGCAAGAGAAATTACCCCAATTTAGTGGAAAAGTTGGAGCAACGAACACAGCTTTATCATCCAGCAGTACAACAGAACACCGTCTCCCTTCTGCGTATTTGTGTCCCCAGGAGGACAAGAAAGAAGAGCGTGAACTGGCCAGCAGATGTCCAGTAGAGAGAGGAGGAAAGTGTGCAGGCAGTTTGCAGCTCACACCCAGCTGGGAGGGCACTGGGAAGGGAGGAGCAAATCCATCCTATGAGCACAGCAGAGGTAAAGCCTGGATTCTCAGGGAAGCTGTTTTGAAACGCTCTCTTCTCACAAGTAAATGTAGGTTCTGGGAAATGAAGACCCTAAATCTTAAGAGATGCATTCTGTCTGGAGTTTTAGAATGACTCATAACAACAGCTGGGAAATGCTATGGGCAGGAAGCTCTTGGAGGACAGCTGCTATTGTCCAGTAGGGGGAGCCCAGCAGGGCCTGGGTTCAAGCTACTCACTTGCTAAGAGCGGTTAGAAAACCTTATTTTGCCAAATAGAATCTTAGTTGTTTTCAGAATAAGAGCCAAGATTTCATATTACAATTACCATTTTAAACTATCAGAGAGGCAGGGTGTGGTGGGATTATACCTGTAATCCCATAAAATAAAACAACATAAAATAAAATGGCAGAATAATTGCAGGGAAAGTAACATTTCAATGTGTCTGTACAGTGATTTGGAGCAATGACTGACAAGGACCTTGTGAGACAAAAACCCAACACCCTGCAGGCCTGAGCCCATGAGGCAGATGCCGCAGAATTAGGCTGGGAGTTATGTCAAACTTCTTAATGTTCAGTCCTGGTTCTAAATCTCCACTCGGGGTTAAGAAGTTTCCCAGCAAATGGTTTTGTGTTGTTGGCTGATACAGTTGTGGATAAGTGAGGACCGAGGCTGCATTTCCACAGAGTGACAGTGGAGAGGAAGCTGTAGACACTGGGAAAGGCTACCATGTCCCCTGAGGCAGGTGCCACGCCAAAGTAAAAGCAGATGCAGAAAAAGAGTGCAGGAGCTGTTCCTGATGGACATCACAGAGCAATCTTGGACGTTATCGCAAGTGCTCAGATGAGGCGAGGTCCTGGGCAGAGGCTTGTGTTAAGAAGCCTGAGAGTGTGGGGGTGAACTAATAAAGACACAACAGATGGGCTGCCCGCTGAAGGCAGGGTGCACTGAGTCCCAGAATCATGTGGACACCGCTCATCGGAGGCGCTGTCTCAGCATGAGTTTAAATATAGCCTACAGGACCTTTGCCAAATGCTCATGGGTCAGTGCACATTACAGCAGTCCTGGGCAGAGTGGGCAGGGTAACAGAGCCTGGCCATCCAATACTAAGAGCACTGACTATGAAGAAGCAAAGGCGGCAGTGTGTCTGCAGAAACCTAATATTTCAGAGCATTACCAAGGCCTGGACTGAGGGCAGTGTGCTGCCTCGGGGGCATTTTCCTCTCAAAGCGCTGTGTGTGAACTGTGGTCCTGCTGTGTCTGCTGTCAAGGCCAAGGCGTCTACATCAAACTCGTATCTGGATGCTGTTCCTGCTGTTTGTAAAGACAGCGCAACTCAGGTCGCCAGTGTTTCTTACCAGACATGTCCAAGACTCTCATGATCTACTGGTATGTAAAGCCATTTCATATTCTAAATTTACTTTACTGTGATATCAGTGAATAAGAAACACTTTAAAATACGAATGGGCCTTTCCTGAGTCATAGAGTTCTCGGTTTCCTGTAATGGTACAACAGTTACAGCAGTGAGGAAAGCAGAATACTTGAATACTCACTTTTCCTCCCTTTTAAAAGTGATCTTTGGTGACTGTGTACACACATACACTGGTGTGTGCTTGGTTGTACCATGTGTAGTGCAAATTTGACAAAAGAGATAAATAACCTTTAAATCAAAATCTTAAAATAAATATTGGTTCATAATTTAGCAGCTTTGATTGAACATGTCCCCTTATACTTGAAGAAAGATGAGAAAAATATATTCATAAATAAATATACTGGTGAAAGTGCTTATAGATAGCTATATCTGTATATTACATGTCACCCATTCCCTGGACAATTAATTATAACTTGTATCACAAGTGTCTAGAAATGTGACCAATTTCTTTTCTAAGCCAGACTATAAATCCTCATTCTATAATTTACTTTAAATTCATATTGATGTCTCCTTTTAAAAGAAGTCATTTAAATGGGAAAAAGCTAAAAGTTTACATTGGCAAATTTATTTGAGTAGAATATGAATCACTCTCACCCATGCCTGAGAACCGTAATTATACAGCAACTTGGGAGAGAGAGAGACAGTACATCAGGTGACGAGCGGAGCAACCTCTGTAGTATGTAGAACTCAGCAGCTGATATTTAGTTTCTTTCCAGTACTTTTAGAAACATAAAGGTATCATTACAGTCTGGGGTATTATTTTCAGGGAATTCAAAAGCAGTGAAAATTATTGTGAATGTCTTTTATTTGTACCCTTCTCCTACATTTTTGATGATTTAAGAAAATACTGGTTTGCAACAAACATTGGCTAATGTTTTAACAAGTGTCTGATTATGAAAGAGCCAAACACCTGGAGAAAGTGTGTGACTCAAACGTTAAACAGAAATACTTGGGGGTTCTTTGGCAGCAAAATGGGAATGAAAGTTGTCAAATCTCAGAGCCACTGAGTGACTGCTAGAGAGAGTCCAAATGCTAGGATAAGCTGATTGGAACTGAGAGGGCTCCTTAACAGTGGGTTTTCCTTAAATTTCTCAATTCTACTTTGGAAATATTTTGTGGGTAGGCCATGCCTTCAGAGCATTGCTTTGGTTGCTTCCAGATTTGCAGACATCAGCTAACACCTAGTAAGTTACTGCATGGCACTGTGGCTCCAAGGGGGTCCACGCAGGGCACTCCAGGACTTTACAACACGTGAACAAGTATTTAACACGTTATTTCATTTTAGTGTGCTGTTTTGTACAAATTAAGAGCTATAAAAATGAAAATACTGAAATTACTTAATAATCTTACTGAGTTTACAATCTTTGTTCTTAATGTAATTTTTAAAATAACCCAGAAGTAACCAGGCTTCCTAGTGCCGCGATCTTTTAAGCTCAACACAGCACTTACTGATTTTAAACATAGTTCCTGTGTTATCCATTGTAAAAATTTACATAAACATTTACTTTATATAAAAAGTTAAAATACATGATCAAAACTTGCTATGGTGTTAATGCATCATTAGTGATTTCATAGCTTATTTCACTGCTTGAGTTAGACCCTCTCCTCTGCCCAGCTCTAATGTCTGTTATTTAACTTTGGCAACGTGCTTAGTTGTTATAGACCCACAAATATGTTAGTAGGAGATGACACTTTGATATTCTTTACTTAATCAAAAATGACATGCCATTTATGTTTATAGAATCTATTACCCTGTGCTTTTTAAAATTAAGCAGGTTAATAATTTGGTTGAGTTTCTGCTTCACTTAAAAATAATGAACAAAAAGAAGAAATGAATGAGTCCCACACATTTGAACCATACCTCAAGGGTGAAACAGATTGGTGTACTGCCATCAAGACTGGGCTTCCAGAGTTTGGACAATGTCATTTTTGGTTTAATTGCAGTGAGATTTCCTGGGGAGGTATAAGATGTAGATCCCTTCAGATCTCCTAAACAGTTTCTGTCGAATTGGCCCATCTGTTCTCATCAAATTATTCTCTGAACCCATATTTGGTGATCTTAATGCTTCTGATTACTTAGAAAACACAGGCCTAGAATACCTAATGAGGATAAATCATATAAAATTCTAGTTTCCTGGCAGTATTTCTTCCATGTATAGTATGTGTCAGTATTTTTATATTTCAGAATAAAGTGTGAAAACCCAAATGATCAATATCAAATGCTATTGTTCAAATATTTTTACTAATATTTAAAGAAGTTGCATATTTTGAACGGCTTAATATTGGTGATAAAATGTCATGTAGATATATTCAATTATTAAAATCAAACACTCACATTACAGAAAGTTGGCTACAGGAAACCCACTCCTACACCAATGGTGGCACATCTGTGGCATGTGTGCCCAGGAGAACTGTTAGAACCAATGAAAGCTTTACGAGGTTCCCAATGCTGCTCTAACACAGAAAAAAGTAAGATTACCTTTTGTTTCCTCTAAATTTCTTATTGTATAATGGAAGAAACAACATCTGCAATGTAGAATAACTAGATTAACTTTGATGACTGTGTGTGTGTGTGTGTATATATATATATATATATATATACACACACAAAGCTGTAATGTTTCTGAAAAGAGTACTTTATACAAAGCAATGAGCTTAAGAGGAAAATATTTAGGGTCGTGGAGAAAGGGTACATCAGCAAGGTGGGTTTGCAGGACCTTCTTTCAGAAACTCCAGTCACCTCTTATGTACCTTTTCTAGGGTCACGCAGGTCGTTTTCACCATTATGACCCCAGGAATGGACATAGTCAGAAGTGGTCCACACTCCCACAGCTCTGCACCTTTCTTACTTTCCGGGCATCTGTGTGTCTCTGAGCCCTGCCTGGCTTCACCTCACCCAAGATATTTGTGCTTAAATAAACACATGAGCAGGCTCATATATTTTACCATAATATACAGTGATGAAAAATATGATTATGCATGGCTACGTAGGAAGATGAGAACTGTTTAATAAAGGCATTATTTTGCATATAAAAGAAGAAAAATTTAAGCTGATAATTGAAATCCAAGTGACTTTAACAATTTGTGTTGAAAAATCGAAAACATTTTGCTCAGAAAACAGAGTCAGCAGCCTCATTTGTCTTCACAACAGTTCCAGAGAGAGAATGCATGTCATGGAGGTGGGAGACAAATCAGGTCCTGTGCGAAGCAGGCAGTGTGTAGGCAGAACAGGCCACTGAAGCAGACCAAGTAAGCCTGCGGGTACCACAGCCAGGAGCAGCAGCCACGTGTTACACTGCATTTTCTCCATGGGAAGTGAAGCACTAGAAATTTATACATATGTAACTATCATAAATATATGTATTATAAAAATAGAATCTTAATTTCTATGTTACATATGTTTTAAATACATGTACGAGGGCCACTGTGCATATATGTAATTTAGTAAGAAGGATACTTATTATTTATATTCATTTTCATGCGTAGTATGAATGTAGTATGTATACATATTAAATCCTAATTCTTTCACATAGTCAAGAAGATTTGGAATTCACTATTGTAAGTGATGGACTACACATGTCCTAAAACACCTGTAAAACTATGTTAAGCCATGATGTCTTCCCAATAAATATGTTGCTCCTATTCTGTTTCTTTTTCATCAGTACTTTGACTTTACAGAAAGCTCCATTCGTTATTTTAACTTGAGATCTTCTCCCTCTGAGCTGCATCATCATCCGTATTTGCTTCTTTTCCCAGTACTTTTGTCGGGTCCCTAGAGGCTGCAGCAAGGCCTCGGCCTGGAGAGGACAGGAAAGAAATGTCATGGCTGTCCCCAGAGGGGTCCGCCACCACTGAGCTGTGTGCTTCCTTCAGCAGCCAAGGACTAGACCAGCTGAAATGACTCAGCTTGCAGCCACCAGCTTAGCTTGCGCCTACCTAGAAATAGAATTAAACCTGCTGGTAGCTAGACACTGTCCATTGGGGCGTCTCCTATCTGCTCCAAGATCCTGCCGTCGTGAGATTACTCACCAGTGCCCCGTAGACACGCACACTCCCCTGTGCCGCTGGAGCACTGGCTGCTGTGCATGCGTTGGTGTCTGCCTTGGAGATGGGGTCTCCCTGGTGCCCAGCTGCTCTCCTGGGTGCCACTCCCATGACCGCCCAGTCTGGGTCTGCGGCGCAGCACCCGGTGCCCCGGGCCATCAAGAGCAGCAGCCTCGGTGCAGTGCCTCTTCCTGACAGGCCCAGAGCCGCACTGTCCTGACCATGTTCTCTGGGCAGCCCTGAAGCGAGGCAGTGCCCTCCTGCTGTGCTCAGCCATCACGTCGGTTAATATCAGAATGGAGGTGCAGACAGACAGGCAAGCGCAGAGCCTGGCTCTGAACCTGGCTTCCTGCTGTCCCAGCTCCACTTCTCTGGTTGTAGTCAGGGTTGCAGGGAAAACGACTGCACACAGGACGCACACTTTGTAGAATTATTTTGGAGCAGTCGCCAAAGAGTTGTTTGGTTTCTAGTAGGGTGAGAGAGAAGAGGCGCGGATAACAGGTGGAAGCAAAGCAGGCCTCTGACAAGGGCACAGGTGGGCTGCCCAAGAGAGTGCAGCCTCCAGAAGTTTCAGGCAAAACCGCGGGCTTTATAACCAGAACCTAGAAGAGGTGGAGCCAAAGGGGCAGGAGGAATGACGTGTTGACAGCTGATAGGAGGAGCCTTTGTACTTGAGTGAAAAGTGGGAGGGTTGACGGGGTTTGCGAAAAGAACACAAGGGGGCGCTGTCCAGCGCCAAAGGGAGCTCATATGTGAGGAAAAACCTATCAGAGTTAAACACAAAATGTGCAGGAAATTTGTGCAGACACTAAAGACCCAAAGAATCCAGCTGAGGACCTGCATCCCACAGTGTGTCCTTCATGAGTCCAGCTGGAGGCCTAGAGCCCAGGAGAAAGACAAGGACTCATGCAGG